CTGAAAATGTGAAAAATCATCAAGACCGCCTGCCGTAGCCATGACAGCATTCCAAACTCCCGCCTGAAATTATAACTCAACGAAACCAGGACCCTCCGCCTAGGCTTCCTTCTGCTGCTCAGGCGCCAGCGCTTCCTGGTCAGCCTGACGTTGTTGCATGCGCTCGCGGATGGCGTCTCCTGAGGTTGAGTCGCCATCCCGGCCACTGGCAGCAGGCCCATTGCTAGCAGTGTCGACGATCTTGTCGTCGTACGTCATGCCGTTCATCATGCGTGCTTCTTTCTTCTGCTGCTCAGTGCTTGACATAGTCTGTGTCGATCCCGCGTTGGGAGGGACGCCGACGCTCGACATAGGGCTCGCCGGGGTCTGGTCCCTTAGATAGCCAGGCAATGCGCTCGCCTTGCCTACAGCCGGACTGCCGAGCTGACTGTTGTGGCGAGCTGGCGTCCTCGCGCCCTCACCGAAACCGACCAGAGAAGCCGCCTCGTCGCTGAAGCCGCCCATGCTTGAAGTGTCCATGTCCTGATCCTCACTCATCCGGTCTGGCTCATACACATCGCTGCCGCTAGCCCAGGTTGTGCGGCCACCGACAGATCCAGTGGCACTAGCACTGCCGACGGTACTGCGCTCACGGAACAGCTGGGGTTGGTTGTTTGCGTCAAAGTAAGCTGGAGGGTGATTGGCTGCGACACCTGGGTTGAGTCCTTGAGAAGAGCGACCAGAGACTGCAACCCGCTCAAGGCCAGCCAGGCGTGAAATGCGATCCGCGCGCTCAGCTTCAGCTGGATTGCGATGGTGGGGAAAGTGGCCTCGATGTCCGTCCTTGATTGCAACAGTAGACAACTCAGACATGGTAGTTGTAACGGAATTGGGTGTGCCCCTGTGTATGTGGTGTTAGTCGACTTGCTCGATACCCAGCCCCGCCGGGGACGTATGATGTCTTACGGAGTGTCGCCTGGAGTCTCGTCTCCAGATGGCGGCGGTGGCAGATTGATCAGCGTGGGCGCATTAGCTGTCATTGTGATTGGAAGATGTGAATTGACTTGGGTATTTTTTGAAGATGGTATGGAGGTTAGGAGAGCAAGCACAGCTTCTGGGCAAGTAGTTTATTACAGGGACGGCCGGGCCCGTGACGAGTGACGAATGACGTAGCGTGTACCCGAGAAGCGTCGATTGAAGCAGAGAAAGCAAGCATGGACGACAGTAGGCACGCCCGTGAGGCGAAATCCTGGCGTCATACCATGTAACCTAAGTACATAACTCCGCCCCTATTCAACTGTAAGCTTGGGGCAGTACAATCTCCCCGCCTCATTCTCGAGTCCACAAGGGCTTGTTCTGACCGTTGGCTGCGCACTTGGACGCAGGGTCCTACCCTAGCGTCTCCCCGCCCCTTGATTGGCTACCGATGTCTTGGAACTTTCTTCCTATACGTAAGTAAGTACCCAGTACATCTTCGGCATCTACGCTGCATACTATGATCTCGAACTCTATCTGCATAGCTAGGTGCTAAGCTTTTGGCAAATAAGCCAGTCGTGACAGGTTCAATTATAGAACCATCGAACCTGGCAACCCAAGCGCACCTTCGCCGTAATCATCCAAATCGGCATAGAAAACCCAGGTAGCTTATTAACGACCAACGTTCGAGCTGTGCTGAGACCGTGAAATACTATCATCATAGATACCAAGTGGAGTAGATCCGTGACTTTAGGATACCAGCCGCTTTGGGTTTTCCAGTAAAGCGGGGAAGTTTTTCCAATCACATTTCGCCGCATGAGCATCGTTACTACTCTTCCATCACAATACACCAAATCGAACAGCTGATACTTGAGCAAAATTCATTATGGAGTTCTTTTGGGGTATTGGAGGGTACTATTTCGCACTCTCCAGTTCTCTCAGATATTCAAACAGACACATGCCAGTCATGCCGCCTCACTATACTTCATCAGTTCCTATCTTCATGCCCCTTTACGCCTCGTATGCATAGGCCATAGTTCCTTCTCCATCCGCCCAACTTAAACCTTGTTCTCAAGCCTGCGCTCATCTCTCAGTTTGATCAGCTTCTCGACAGCCTCATCAAGCGGTACGATGACGCCACGCTGTTGAGTCTCTTGGTCATCGCGGTTTCTCCAATTGACAGCCCTCGCCTGCTGTTCCTCTGCACCAACGACCATGATGAAGTTGTATAGTGCCAACTGTGCTGTGCGGATCTTCTTTTGCATAGTGTTGCCACTAATATCAATGTCGGCGTGGAAGCGGTTCTTACGGAGCACAGCCTGAACTTCCTTGACATAGTCGTTTGCGCTCGGCATCACAGGAATAACCATGACTTGGCGAGGTGACAGCCAGAACGGCCACCTACCTGCGAAGTGCTCCGTGAGAATACTGGATCTGTTTAGTGGGAACATTCTCACCATGAATGGTAGTCAAGACTTACGCAATAAATCGCTCAAAGGAACCGTAGATAGCACGGTGGATCATGACGGGCCTTGCATAACCTGGTTGTGGTTCCTTGGGATTCTTGGCCGCAGTAGCATCAGTAGCCTCTGACTTCTCCTTCTTCTGCTCGACCTGTTCGGCTTCCTTCGGCTGCTCCTTCGCCTTTGTAGGAACGACCTCAGAAGTCATATACTCAAGTCCGAATTGGATGGGCAGCTGGAAATCGAGCTGAATGGTAGCACACTGGAACTCTCGCTTTAAAGCGTCCGAAATGGTAATGTCGATCTTAGGACCGTAGAAGGCACCGTCACCAGGGTTAAGCTCCCAAGCGCCACCGCCCTCAGCAGTAAATTGATCCAAAGCCTCGGTCAACTTCGCCTCGGCCTTGTTCCAGGTGTCAATGTCACCAAGGAAGCCCTCAGGACGTGTACTCAACTTCAGCTTGAACGTGAAACCAAACTTTCCATACACAGCTCTTAGGAAGTCGAACAGCGCAGAGATCTCCTCAGTGATCTGATCTTGGGTACAGAAAACGTGGGTGTCATCTTGCTGGAATCTGCGCACACGGGTAAGGCCGGTAAGCGCACCGCTGGCTTCGTTTCGATGTAGGATGCCAAAGTCGGCCATGCGAATAGGCAATTCTCTGTAACTGCGCTCACGGTGCCCGAAAATCAAGCAGTGTCCGGGGCAGTTCATGGGTTTCAGAGCCCACTTTTCCTTCTCGACATCGAAAGTGAACATGTCGTCTGCATAATGTTGCCAATGGCCCGAAATTTTCCATAGCGCAGAATTGAACATGTTCGGTGATCCCACTTCCTGATACCCACGGTTCCAGTATTCTTCGCGCAGAAAAGCTTGTAGTGTGTTGTAGATGATCTGACCATGTGGGAGGAAGAAGCACGAACCAGGACTGTACTCGTGGAAAAAGAACAATTCTTGTTCCCTTCCAATCTTGCGGTGATCACGCTTGGCAGCTTCTTCGAGGAACTTAAGATGCTGTTGCATCGCATCCTTGTCGGGGAATGAAACACCATAGATACGTTGCAGACTGTCATTCTTGGCATCACCCAAGAAGTATGATGCGGAATTCTTCATGACCTTGAACTGCTTTATCCGTCCGGTGTGTGGTACATGGGGTCCTCGGCAGAGATCAATTAGCGGTCCGTTTCGGTACACAGTGGTGAAACTGCCGTCGGGAATCTTATCCTTAATGATGTGCTGCTTGTACTTGTTGGACTTGAACATCTCAAGCCTAAGACAAGTTAGATAGATCCGCCACAAAAGAATAGAAAGTCTTACAAATCATCCTTGGACAGGGTCAGACGCTCAAAGACTTGCTTCTCCTTGACAATACTGTTGACAATGGTCTCTAGCGGTTTGTGGTCGGCGGGATCAACGGCAGCGTTATCGGGGAGGGCCATCTGTAGGATAATCAACGGTGTCCCTGAAATTTTATGACAAAACAAACCTCATAGTAGAATCCATCTTCGATAGGAGGACCAATGCACAGGTCGCACCCAAATCTGCGTTCCGAGGCTTCTCCCAGGATATGCGCGCTCGAGTGCCAGAAGACTTTCTTGCCTTCAGGGTCATCAAAAGGCAGGAGCTCAAGCTTGCAGCTCTTCTCCAATGGTCGTTCAAGATCCCACAGTGTCTCCTCCGGTGTTCCCTTGTCCAAACGCGCGACAACGGTGCGCTCAAACAGGCTCTTGGAGATATTTCGCGCAATGTCGGCAGGGCTGGTGGACCATGATTCGCCTTCAACAATCTTGCCGTCTTCAAGCGTGATGGTGATTTTCTCTGTTGCGAGAGTAATGAGTCAGTACTATGCAAAGGGGTCTTGCGTCGAAGTGACGAGCGTACCGCGGGGCTTCTGGGCGATTTCTTCGTCGTACTTTGCCTTGAGTTTCTCACTGGGACGTGGTTAGCATGCACTTCGCAAAACTCCAAGTACCACTTACAAAATCTTAATGCGATGGTCTATGTAAGCTGGTGCAGGGTCGAGCATCAATGGACGACCATCACCAGCATCGCCCTTGGCCTTCTTCTCTTTCTTCGGTTTCGGGGCCTTGTTTCCTTTTTGCTCGGCCTTCTGTTCAGCAGATACGGCCAGGTCTTTCACTCCCTCGACAGCCGCGTTGACGGCATCCTTGACTGCGTCCGCCATGTTGTTGTTACTGTCGAGTCTCAAGCACGCGGGGCAGAAATTGTATGTATACAGCAGTGGTGAGTCAAGCACCGTACAAGATGAGATGACTCAGAACGTGATGTGAATGCGATGAACCGTGCCGCGGGTAGAGTGACTCCAAACCAGTCTGGAGGATCAGGTCCGGATGCAAAGCAACGTCCGACTCATACACAATTTCAGAAAGGTCCACGCCCACGACAGCCCACTTGGCCTTGGCAGGTGCATTTGGTGGGGTTATGCGGCGGCAGGATCCATCGGCGAAACGTGGGACCGATTGGCCCTGACTTTCCAACTTCATTTTCAGTTCGAACTTTTCGCGAAGCTCTCGAACAAGCTCACCTTTCGCGCACCGACCACTCTCAACACAACAGAAACAATGGCATTTCGCGGAACTCCTCGTGGCGGTCGCGGCGGCGGCTTCGGCGGACGTGGTGGATTCTCTGCGCGTGGAGGTATGTGGCACACTCAGAGCTGTACAGAATTTCCTAGCTAATGCGCCACAGGACGCGGTGGAATGGGAGCTTCTTTCGGACCCCCAGACACTGTTGTTGGTAAGAAGAGCACCTTGATGCGAAGAGGCTGGAGCTGACTTTTTGTAAGAAATGGGAAAATTTGTTCACGACTGCGAAAACGAGATGTTCTGCGAATCGATAAACACCAAGATTCCCTACTTCAATGCGCCAATCTACCTGGAGAACAAGGTACATATATTGCGAATCTTGAAGCCAAGGAGAAAACAGGATTGACCCATCTGCAGACACCCATCGGAAAAGTTGACGAGATCATGGGCCCGCTGAACCAGGTCTACTTTACCATCAAGCCGCAAGAGGGCATACAAGCAAAGTCATTCAAGGCTGGCGACAAGTTCTACATTGGAGGCGACAAGCTGCTCCCTCTTGACAGGTAACGTGGCTCACCTGGCTGTCCATCTAGCGCGCTAACAAAAATAGGTTCTTGCCCAAGCCCAAGCCTGTTGGCGGCGTTACAAAGGTCAAGAAGCCCGCTGGCGCAGGCCGTGGAGCACCACGAGGTGGTTCTCGTGGCTTTGGAGGTCGCGGCCGTGGAGCACCGCGTGGACGGGGTGGACCTCCTGGACGCGGAGGCTTTGGTGCCCGTGGTGGAGGTCGTGGCGGAAGCGGTGGCTTCTCAAGAGGCGGTGGACGTGGTGGTGGTGGCTTTGGTGGACGTGGACGAGGAGGATACTAAATGCTTCGGCCAGGGACGACGATCACCTCACGCTGGAGAAGCGCTGCGTTTTGCGCTGCCGTTTCGGCTCGAGCCTACGATTACCCACCGATACCATGATCATTTGTCGGCGTTTTGGAGTTGCGATGGAATCACTGTAACATGTCGAAAATATGGCGCCCTGTTGCGGACACCTTGAGACGGATGCGCGGATTGTTATTTTTCTAGCCAAATTACTCTCGATTTTACAAGCAATCGCAAAGACGGAAAGCTGAGAAGCTGTGTATGTGGTGATCATGGTTGACTATTGGGGTTGAGAGAGATGGCGCCACATCACTAAAAGCTTGAAAGGTACCAGATACCGAGGTTTTGACATGTCACCAAAACAAGTCTACAAAGAACCATGTGGGATTGCGCACCGTTTCATTCTGGAAATGATCATTTTCTGTATGCTGATGATTTCCACCAGTCAACAATTAACCTTCAATTAAAGACATGGGTGACAACGAAATTCAGTAATTCCCAACATGTGCAAGATTAAGCAAAGCACCTGCGTGTCGTGATGTCAACGTCACAGCTGTCGGATGCTGCAAAAGACCCGAGACAGTCGAAAGGTTGGGCCTTTATTTTCCGATCGAGCTTCGTGCCGCGGCCAATAGACTCATTTGCGACATGCCAGCCATCCCAGCCCAGCCTCCTCAATGGGGTCGCGGCGGTCCGCGGAAGCATCAACAACAACAGGTTCTGTAGGGGCTCGGACGACTTTTGCGTTCCTCTTACACGGCCCATCTTTCCCTACCTTTCTTTTTCCTCTTCAGTTTTGCTCTTTGAAAGGGGTGTCCTGGTTCCACCGAGCTCTCCGCATTCCACCCCGCAACAATACCGCCGTGTCTGAGCAGCACCCTCACGTCACTCATTCGCTTGTGCCAATCCCCCACAGCCTCTGTACGACAGCGCACAAAGTCTCGGAGACAACTCCGCGAGAGGCCGGATATCAACAGAAGAGACGCACATCTGGTCAATTGCTGGATAGGGGAAGAGGGATTGGGATACTGCCAAGTCAGGCTCCGGATAACCGACGGTAAACAAGGCAACGAAGCTCCACACCCAGGAATACCATTATAGCAACACAAGCGCAACAAACCCTCCGCCCTGCGCGACCCCAACTGAACGCAAATTTATCGCAGACCACGTGCGACGAAGCCTCAAAGCTCAAAATACCGAAAAAATGGCGCGCGCAGGACACTCAGGCACAGTCGTCGGCTCGGCGATAGTAGTACGGGAAAAGTACTACTGGCCAGACTTACAACTGAACATCTGGACAATAGTTATGCTGGCAACAGCAGGGCTGATATTGGGCGTGAATGCGCAATTCATGGAGATACAGAATCGAATGGGTTTGGGAACGCCATGGTACGTGAAAGTCTATCACCGATACTTAAGCAGCAAATGCAAACAAGACTCAATTCTCCTTGGAGACGACTGCTAACCCAAGCTCCACATAGGATCATGCCCTATGGCGTCACAGTAGGCACTCTCGCTATCATCTTCATCATTATCGAAATCATCTACATTGCGCAACGAAAGCTCCTTCCTGGCGTCATGATGTTGTTCTCCTTCATCCTACTCGTCCTCTTCCTCGCCGGCGTCATTGGAACTGCGATACAGCTCTTCGCTGGACCCAATATCAACAATCAATGCAATACCTATGTGTTCAATAACAATGCGAGGGGACCCACTATGGAAACGCTGGCGTTCTTGCAGCAGAGGAATATCTGTAAGTAACCATGCGTTCTTTTCGCAAGATGGGAGAGACTAATCAGGCTGGAAACAGGCCAATGCTGGCAGGCTCAATTTGCTTTCTGGATCATCGGAACAGTGTTTCTCATCTGGATGATGGTCATGGCTAGCCAAGTCAACTCCAACACCTACGTCAGATAGTAGGATATTGTGGGCTTGATTGGTTTTTTGTTGTTATGAGAAACATTTCCAAACTTCTTTGCATATTATGCTTTTTTTCTTCCTTTTTTTTTCTTACAATTCATGCGCCACGTGTCTATGATGGTATTGATGGTAGGCATGTACCAAGTAATTTGGGCGACGGCAACAGCGAATGTTGTAGTGTATAAACGATGAACGAGATACCGATTGGATTGACGCACAACAGCGAAATGAGCGCGTGTGTGTATGAGTAACAGTATACCTGGATGTTAGCAATAGGGACGAAGAATGATAATGGATGTCTTGAAGTATAGGGCAGAGAAAAATATGAATATAAATATCAGCCCAATGCAATTGGTACTTACATCTGATGAGAAGCACGCCTGTATGTGTACAACTTCTAGTTCGCGCTTCTCCCATTCTCAACCTTGTTTATATGATCATATGGAGCAAAGCCCCTTTCATTGTTCTCATACCTACGTAAGTACCTGTGGCTCAAGCCACTAACACTTGAGCTCCCTTAGCAACGACCATCACATTACGTCGCCAAGTCCAAAGGGCAGCAATCATGTACAAGTGTGAGCATGACAACTGTAGTCAAGACCGAAAAAAGTAACATAGGGTATACAATGCTGATTATTGGAACGGGGGTAAGGGGTCAGCATATCACCTGCCCCTTTCTCTCTCCCCGTTATCTCAGCCAGCTGTGCATGCAGCGCAAAGAGGATGAGATGCAGGGACTTTTCTTTGTCTCTTTCCTCTTTGTTATGCGTAAAATAAGTTACACACGTTGCCACTACAGCGAGGCAGTAATGTAAGGAGGTTGCGGAGGGGCGATACTTCAGCCCTTGAACAAGCCAAGCGCTCGCGGTAGCGATACTCCCGAAATCAGCCCCCAAACGGGCAAAAAACTATCTATCCCCATAACTCAACACAGCTATACCTACCCTTTTTCCTGTCCCCGTCATCACCATCCCAAAACAGCCTATTTAACAAAGAAAAACAAGACAAAGCTCAAGCCAGTCCGCTGCCCCCTCCCCTCTTCTCTTCTCGCACGAAAGAGGTCCGTCCATCACCCAGCCGACGCGACCAGACTTGTGACATTTGAGACAAACAACGACACCATGACGCCTCGATGAGATAATGGAAGATCAACACAGCTCCACAGCCATGCGCCGTTTGTCGTTCCCGCCAACACCAATTATAGTTAATGGTACCCATTACGAACTACAAGTCCACTAAACCGCACGCCCAGCTCAGCCGCCCACCCAACCAAACCAAACCAACAAACCCGCGCAAGCAACACGAAAGGCCGCCGCAAAACAGGTCAAGCGTCAAACACGCCGCGCCACGCACTAGATCGTCGATCCGCCCTATCCTTCCCTCCTTCCCCGCTGTACCTTGCAAGGCCAACCCAACCGCATCCGGGAAAAACCCACATACGCGCTGCCGCCCGGCAATCTATTCTTTGTAAATTACCATACGAAAAGTAACATTACAGTAACCTTGGTCCTGCTTGGTCCCTTCCACATCCTTGATCCCGTAAACTATACTACTACTAACTTATCATCATTCACGTCCAACCAAGGCCACCTCGAATCCGTCTGTTTCCGTTTTACCCTTTTTTTCCCCATCCATGTACATGCCCTACCCCCTCCCCTCCCCTCCAAACTGCCGCTTCGCCACTGCGCTGCTGCCCTTTTATAGAAACGGAGACTAGACTGAGTGAGGAGCGAGCGAGCGAGCAA